TCTCAATGAAATATATTTAGAAATATTTGGCTTTTATGGCTCTCCCAGTCAAAAAGGTTCCCGACCCCTGCTCTAAGTGATGGGATTTCCTTCCACGTGTATCCAATTGGCCGATTACACGTTTATAGAGGACTGCAGAGCTTGGTGGGGGGGTGATTTTGCACTGGTTCACCACCTGGCCGCTGCTGCTTTCCCAATTTGCGGTGCTTCACCCCAGCGAATAATGTGCAGCACGTTACTCATTGCAATTATTGCTATTAACGAGACCTACTGTGGCATCCAACCCGTCTTTGTGGCCCAAGGGTCTACGCCGGCACTCACCGTCGAGAGGCACGCCGTTGTACTGCTTCATGGCCTTGATGGCGTCGGCGCGGCGCTCAAAGTGGACGTCGGCCGTACCCAGCGAGCGGCCCGAGCGGTCGTAGTGCACCGCCGCCTTGCGCAGCGGCCCAAACTCCGCAAACAGCTCCTACGGGGCCACAGAGCAGCACCCGACACTCAGCCAAGACACCCGCGAGGTGGCCGGGCAGCCCGAGCTCGCACAGCACTTCTCAATCTCCGATCCTCAAGACTCGTCACACTCCATCTGTCCAAGTTTACCAATCTTAAAGCACAAGCTGTAACAAAGGCAGTATCACGCTCAAGGGCAATTGCGTATTTTGCAGGAAATTTTTCAAATTTAGACCACGACACCAGCAAACAAGATTGATTCGCTGCCTCTACAGAGATTGCGTCTATATCTTTTAGACAGAATGTTGCATCGCGAAACCCTGGTGGCCAGCGACAATCTTGAGGATGCGTCGTGCACCGAAGGGCTTGGGAATGGGGCGGTCCAGTACAGGCGGCGGTGGTACCTGGATGTCGGCGTCCGATACTCCGAAGTCGAGGTTGGAGACGAGCAGTTTGCCTCCGCGCTCCTGCACCACCGAGCCGTCAAACATGTCGTGCTGCCAGCGCTCCGCCACCCGCTGCGGCTGTTGCTGCACAAACCAAACGCGAGCACACACAAACGCGGTCACGACGGCGCCTGACTGCCACCATGTCCTCGCCCCTCCTGCGCTGTTCCCACCCGCTGGTGTTGGCCTCCTGCGCTAACAGCTTGTGCGTGCGCCACGCTGCCACGGCGCCAACCTCCAAGCAGCCGGGCGTTGCTCTGTCAAGTCGACGTCTAGTCACTCAAAGTTGATTTTAGAGCTCAATATGTTGAGCTACATACATAGAGTTCCCCTTAACGTTAATGGATGAGATCAAGCCTGTGGCTTCACAGTCTCAAGGGGTCCATTGTGATTTGACTATATATTGGAAACCACAAAAAGGCACAATAAATCCCGTGGCAATAGAAAGATTGGCCAATTCCAATCTCAAGGCAGCGTTTTGCTTAACGTGGGAGGAAACCAGAGGATTGCTGTGCTGCCATCTTGCAGCCCAGCAGGTCTTGAGTTTCACAAATCTTTGTGCGATCCACCAACCCTCGCCTCCAAAGCGCCGGATCACAGGCGTGCAGAGCCACCAGGGGTCTGGTGGATGCGGTGTCCAGCACGTGGATATACAGCGTGGCAGGGCCGGCTGTCGTCAATGAAGACCTCGGGGGTTCAGCTGCTCTTCCATCACGATTCAGGCGCACGGCTCAACAATGAGGATGAACAAGGCGCTTTGCTAAAAAACATCACAACATTTAACTCTACCAGAAGGATCCGATTTCATCGGCATGACGCACGCTTTTTCCTAAGCAGTTTGGTAAACTACAGACATTAACAGCTTGTACTGTGGTAGTAAGTCACGCTGCCACTGTGATATAATACCACCACCGCTGACCACTGTGCTGGATCGGTCACCGTGCGAGCATTGCCGTCAAATGGGAGGCAGCATGCTGCTGCCGCCAATCACCACCGAGGTTGCAGAGAGTGGCAGGCGCAGGCGACATCACGAACGCACCATGACCATGTTTGGTGTTGACAAGCAATTTAAGGGGGTAGGGGTGAGACTTAAACGAATGACGAAAAAAAATTATGCGCAAAGACTAATTGAGAATGGAATAACCAATTCCTTGAATGCACATTAGTGTATGGGAATTCCATTTTCCATAAGAATATATACGAGCATTCCTGACAATCGTTCTAGGTCGGACACGGATGAAGAATAGGGGGACATGGTTAAGGGATTGTTGTGGGTGAGGCTGTTTAGAGCGATGGGGCTGATAGCGCATTCTAGTTACTGCAGCAGCAATCATTATCAGCAGTCGTCCTCGCTACCACCCCGTTCGCATGAGGCCATCACAACTCCAACACGAGATGCCAAACAAGAGCCACCGCGCGCCAAACACCACACAAACCCGCGGCGTGACCGCGCTCGAGTCAATGTCCAAACCGCGCACGCGACGAACGCCACTCGGGAATTTTCATCAAGTTGCAATCAATCCCGTGTTAAGAAGTCGAGACGCACACCGATCAGGCCTGATCATCTACCCGGGGAGCGGGTGGTTCCTGGGGCCCCGGGCACACACCCGCCGCCTCCACCAGGGCTGCGCTTGCTCTCCATCTCCTCGGCCCCGGCTCTCTCGGTCTCTCCTACGGCGACGGCGGTGACCCAGACTCTTCGTGTTCTTCACGGCTCAGTCCTCACAATCATCATCATCCTCTCTCGGAGTTCGTCGTCTCGCGTTGCACACCCCTCGCGCGGTCCCAGCTCTCACCCAATGAAGAGACTCGCGCAGTTTCACCAAGTCCTCGCAGTGGTTGTCAATACATGTCGGCCGGGGAGAAGCGAACCATCTTATATCAAAGTCACACGCAGCTCGATCTCCCCCCAATCAGCAACTCGCAGCAGGGGGCCGTGTTCGCATCTTCAGTGAAAGCGGCGCTGCTCCTCGACCCGTGACACTAAAATTCGCGTTTCTCATCAACATTTTCATCATCTCCCACGGAAGACGTAGCAGTTAGAATCTCTTTCCTGCGCAGCTCCACTCCTCCGCCTGGCTCCGCGGCCAGAGAAAAAGCCACAGGCCGTCTCTTATCACCTTGGTCTTCAGCAACATCGCTCTATTTCACCATCATGAGCATCAGATGACCAGCATGAGGCGGCTCCTGTCCGACTCGAGGCCGAGGCCTGGGTGTTGGAGGGGGGGGTGAGGCTCGGATGGGACAATCGCGGCCTTCAATGGGAGGCGGCGGTCTCGCTCCGGGCCAAATCGACACGGCAATGCGCGTGAAGACGGGAACGTGGCGAGGGTGGCGAGTTGCCGACCCGCTCCCCTGGCCGCGGGGGTGGATTAAACGCAGCGAATTCCCGGCGAGAGCGACGCGGCGGACACACAGAGAGACAGAGAGAGAGAGAGACACGCGAGACTCGGCGCGACGACACAAAATGGCCCCCGCCGCCGCGCATGGCGAGGCTTGCTCCGGCTCCCCGCGCCACTTCTCCTACCCGCGTGAACGCTGCTGGGCCCTGCGCGGCGCGGCCTCGCTTGAACACGGCCGTTTGCACGGGGCTTCGAAGGCCGAGCGAGGCGACCCCGAGCCCCACGCCGCCTCCTCCTCCTCGGCCGCCGCGGCCTCCACGCGGGCCGCCTCCTCGGAGCCCGCGCAGGCCGACGCCTGCTCCTCGCCCGCCGCGGCCGCCTCGTCCGCCGCGGCCGCCGATCCCCTTCTGTCGGTTCTGCTTGATGATGTCGTCCAGGGACATGTCGAGTTTGTCAGCCATGGTGGCGCTGCGTTTGTGACGAGGAGACGAAGAGGCTGTTGTTTGTAGACGGGAGGCGCGGAGAGCAGCACGATGCGAAATGGCGGCGCGAGGAGAGAAGGCGGGAGGGAGTGGATGACGTCACTGGCGGATGTGACGTAGCGGAGGGGGGAGGGGCCTTATCTCATTGACGGATGTGACGTAGGCGTCGCGGAGGTGCCTTCTCTCACAGGCGGATGTGACGTAGTGGCATAACGGAGGGGGAAGGGGCCTTATCTCATTGACGGATGTGACGTGGGGCGTAGCGGAGGGGGGAGGGGCCTCATCTCGCAGGCGGATGTGACGTAGGGGGCATTGCGGAGGGGGAGGGGCCTTGACTCAGGCGGACGTGACGTAGAGACATAGCGGAGAGGGAGGGGCTTTATCTCACAGGCGGATGTAAACGTTGGCAAAGTGCCGTGACGTCAACCGTGTTTTTTACGCGTCCGTTGACGTCATGCACGTCTCATTAAATAGACTGGTGACTTTAACAAATGACACGGGGATAAGGGAACATCCATTTAGTAGTTTTTAGTACGTACGCAAAAATCTGTAAAAACTTGACCCCTCGACCCCTCCCTGTACGCACGCGTACGTACACTTGACGCACCTCCCCCGAAACCTATTGAACGGCAGATATTTAATCCACGCATATTAACGTGTCTAAGCAAACAGACCACCGCCGGACTATCCAACTCATTTCAATGCCAATGTAGACAAATTATTATAGAGGCTTCATCCCCCTCCCCCCGTTTCCTATGCCTACGAATATTGTCAGTAGACCCCCGATACGCAAGCGTACACATTTGGGTTAACATCCCCCTCCATGCGTACGAACTAAATGGATGGCTACTCTTTGGTTTTTTCGGTAAATTCAAATGTATAAAATGTGATTTTATTTATTTTTATTTTTTTACCTACGTGACTTTACCGAAAAAACCAAAGCGTATGAATCCTTGCAGTCACGAAAGCTTCAAATCGAGAATAAATGGATTGGTCCCTAACGAGAAGAAACTGAACACGTTTTTCCAGAGCAGATGCGGCGTGACGAGGAAATAGGACGTGACGTCACGGAGCGCGCGATTTCATTGGCTGGCGAGCTACATCCGGGGTCACAGCGCCCCTCGGCAGCCAATCACGTGGTGACCCCATCCCGCGGGGAGAGGGAGGGGCGGTAGCCCTGGGATTTTTTTTGACCAATCACACGCCGGCTCCGCGTGTCACGTGGTGTGGTTTTTTTTTTAAAGGGACGCGGCACGTGGTGACCCCGTGGGTCACGAGACCCCGGGCAGTAGCGAGCGAGTCCATTTGTTGTTGTAGTTGTTGTTTTATTGTTGTTGTTTATTATTCTCGTTTATTCTTTTGTGTATCGGTCGCTTGCACCGATGGCGAGCGTGGACTTCTGGCTGCTGCAGGCTCGGTGAGTGGCTGTCTTAATCCCAAACTATGATCACTGTTACATTGGTTTTATGGCTTTAGTTTGGTGATTTTGAAGACGTTTTGGTTTAGCCATCCATGTTTGTTTGTTGTAGTACAGAGTTAGCCTGATGACTTTAATCTACATTGTCTTGTGGTTGTTATTGTTTGACTTGCATCCCATTGGGATTTTTGCACACAGCGTTGAAATATTTGGTGTTTTTTCTGGAAGATTGCTGTTTTTTCCAGGATTTTTCTGTTGCGTGTAATTACTTTAAGATGTTTCTTGTTCATGTTTTTGTTTTGTTGCGGTTGCACCCGAGTCAAGAGCCGCATGGCTCACAGGGTCATACCTAACCAATGAAACTGAAAACTGCTGACAATAGCCGGGCAGTGTTGGCTCACTGCTGCTGTTGCTACAATTAACGAAGCGGGCAGCAGTTTCGCCTTCTTCCCCGTGTTGTGTGCCCCTTCTTGGGGTACACGGCTGACGAAGAGCATCGTTTGTTCAACACGAGCCAAACCTCTGAACCGCGGTGTCGGCATTCGGTATCTCATTGGCAGACTCAGGCTTGCTCGACTCAATGCTGGTGAACGGGTTAGTTTGTGTTGTGTATCGATGGCCCATGTCCTCCTACACAGCGGGTCATTGTCCCTGCCATCTCGCAAGCTCGTCAGTGTTCACAGCGAAAGCCTGACTTGCTGACGAGACAATGAAGACCGAAGCGTGGCTCAGAGTTCCCCTGTACGAACCCCCAAATCACTCCTAGAAGGCCGCGTGGCTGATGGTATATTGTAAAATGTGTTTTTTTGTAATGCGGATGGAGTTAAGATTCGGAAGTTTATTTCTCGAGTGAAGCCTTATTGAGGCGTGTTGTCCGCATATTCATGCTGATCTTAAAGGTACATTGAAAAAATTAACCCGTAAAAACAAAGTTTTTCACTATAAATCCTTTATATGCGTGGCGGCTAGAGTCCTCTCGTCCTCTGGCTTGAGATGGCTGCCACCTATGGGTCAGATGATTGCCTGCCACCATTAAGCAATTGGTAATTAAATATATTTTTTTTTCCTAAAAAGTGTAAAATTTTGGGGGGATAATTTCACGAAAATTAATTGTCACGCACAACGAGTCTGTGTGGAAAATGTCAGCTCGATTGGATCACGGGAAGTGGGTTAAAAAACGACCGAAAGATTTGCACGGTCGTAAGCGCGCAAGCAAGCAAGTTAACTTAATATAAAGGATTAAAAAATGTTGATACTCCGACTGATGCTCCTGCTGTTGTGGAGTGACTCATGCAGCCAACTATGGCTGCAGGGTTTGGTGGTACATGTTGTTTATGTCGTTTATTGTGAAAATTCGGTCACAGTTCCTATGATCACTGTTTCATTGCTTGTATGGCTTTATTTTGGTGATTTTCGAAGAGTTTTTTGGTTTGGCCATGTTTGTTGTAGTAAAGAGTTAGACTGATGGTCTTAATCTAAGTTGTCTTGTGGTTGTTGTTGTTGTTTGACTTGCATCCCACTGGGATGTTTGCACACAGCGTTGGTGTACGGTGCTTTTTCTGCAATATTTTGCGGTCTTTTATTGGATTTTCTGTTTGCACTCAGTCACATATTCACTTTAAGATGTTTTCTTGTTCATGTTTTTGTTTGTTGCGGTTGCACCCGATTCAAGAGCCGAATGGCCCACAGGGCTATACCTAATACATTAACTTGAACTTGATTTACCACCAGGACTGCCCTCAATAACGAATATTAAAATTGCTCCGCCAACTTAATTATTTACTCACAGAGCAATTACAGCTGTCATTTTACATCGCGTCTGGCACCCCCCCCCCCCTCTTCAGCGTCAGACAAATGAGCGTGGAGGGGCTGCGAGGAACAAGAGCGCCTTGGGATGCGCTCTGTGGACTTGGCAAATCGTTTGCGATTCGAATGTTCACACGGGGGGGGGGGGCGATGGCGTTGGTAGTTGCGGTGGTATCTCCTAACCACCGCTAGAAGCTGCTGCTTCATCGGGGAGGGGGGGATATCCCTATCAACCCATACGGTTTATTAAATTTATCCCGTATCGTTGTACAGGGAAATTTAGTTTTCAGGTCCATACGGCGTAAAGCCGTTTCAATACGGGCAAAAAAAATGTATCATAGGGTCAAATAGAGTAAGTGTGTTGTTGAACTCTTAATTTTCTGTGTTTATTTTTGTACATTTACTAAATGTGAATCCACATAGCAAGCAAGCATCAGCATGCAAGATCACAGATAGTAAGCATAAGTAGCATCATTGACACCAATTATCAAAATGAATCCATACAACTGTTATTGTTTAGTAACGTAACTTTGTCTATGTTTCTCCCTTGGGATGGGACTTACTTAGTAGGATGAACGTTGAGATTTTTAGAAGGGCATCGGGTGAACAATAAGGTCTAATAATATCGGGTTTTTTTTGTTTAGATCGCATAAATATATAAATGTGTCGTTAAACAGAACAGGCCAAATTCGTTACTAGTACAGCACACCAATGTGTTGAAGAGCAAAGCCACAACATTCACAATCTGGGTACGCCGTTTCGCCAGTAATTACAACTAGCAACCATTTACGCGTTAAATAATGTCTGAATTGGTCTGTAATAAGATAGGCAGTGATAATTGGTTCTTTACCCTTCTATCTGGCAACAAAACTGACACCTTTTTGCAAGGAGTCATGTTTGCATAGACCGCAATACCTGCAGTCATAAATACAAACAAAAGACATAACTCTGATAATGTGCACTGTCCTATCAGAGTTATGTCTTTTGTTTGTATTTATGACTGCAGGTATTGCGGTCTATGCAAACATGACTCCTTGCAAAAAGGTGTCAGTTTTGTTGCCAGATAGAAGGGTAAAGAACCAATTATCATATTTTTACTGGCAAATGAGGTCCCCATAGTGAAGATAGGCAGTGATAAGGGATTGACAGGCGTGGGTATGCCCTGATGTTAAAGACCCATCACTGCTTCATGCCCCCCGACACAAAAACCATCGGTGGCCAGAGGGCTGGCGTGGAACTTTTCTCTGGAGCAGAGACGTGGACGTGGACATGAGAAATGGATACAAAGTCTAAAAAGTACCCAAAGAAGCATGGTGAGGTGCACGGTGGGAATTACAAATACTCGAGCTGCACCGTAGCCATGGTGGGGGGGGGGGGGGGGTCACATTGTGGGACCGTGAGCGGGTGGCGACGGTTGTGGGGGGGACCCTCATCCACCAGTGGATTGCTCATGGCTGAATTCATTATGATCAACGATAGAAAGGTAAAGGTTGCAGCCCTGCGATTCCTTGCTCACACCACGGAGGGAGCTCCTCGAGAGGGAGCTCTAGAGGTGGACCCTGACCTCCGTTCGGCCAACTGCGGTGCGCCCATTTATTGCACTAATTGATACCTGATAATTGTTTTTTTACCCTTCTATCTGGCAACAAAACTGACACCTTTTTTACAAGGAGTCATGTTTGCATAGACCACAATACCTGCAGTCATAATGCAAACAAAAAACATAACTCTGATATTGTATGCACTGTCCTTGAAGTTGATTGGTCCACACCCGAGACAGCTTTCCTTAAGGAAAAAAAGGTGTCAGTTTTGTTGCCAGATAGAAGGGTAAAAAAAACAATTATATTTTTTACTGGCAAATGAGGTTCCAATGGTGTAATTGATACCTGTCAACCTCTTATCAGTGCCTGCCTGATTACAGACCAATTCAGACCTTATTGGTCACCCCGTGCCCTTATAAATCTCAACGTACATCCAACAGAGTCCCATCACAAGGGAGAAACACAAACAGTATTGAAACGGTTGTACGGCGTATGGACCTGAAAACTCAATTTCCCTGTACAAGAATACGGGGTAAACCGTATGGGTTGACAGGTATGCTAAATGATCCCACCGAGCCAGCTATGATTAACCCTCGTGTTGTGGTTGTAACGTTGCCACCCCCGTCCCCGTGTAGGGCGCTGGGCGGCCCCGAGGTGGACGACTTCTGCCGTCGCCTCGCCGCCGCGCTGGTGGCACGGGGGGACGCCGGCGCCGAGGCCACCGTGCTGCTCCAGCGCCTGCACCTCGTGGTGTCGGCCAGCAGGAAGAGACGGAGGTACGGTGACGCTAGCGCCTCGCGGCCAGATGGGGGCCTGGGTTCGATTCCTGCCTCGGGAGTTTGTGTGTGTGTGTGACCGTGTGCATATGTATTTGTGGAGAGCGGTCAACGCGCTGCACTACGAACCCGGCGACCCGAGTTTGATTTCTACTCACGGCCAAAACCAATTTTCTAAATCTGTCCTGGGCCTCCCCTAGGTCGACTCGACATCAAATCAGTACTTGGTATGATGTGTTAACATCGCTACTGGGGAGACACAGGCAGCCAGGCATGGTGCCGGCCTCCCACCCCCTCGTGTGCCGTGCCGGCCTTCATCGGTGCTCGCTAACAGCACTTGCCCCAACCGTCTGTTAAGGCTACACGGGGGGGATCTTTGTCTTTTTGTGCGTATATTTGTGCGACTGTGTGTGTGAGTGTGACCATGTGTGTGTGACTGCATGTGGTTTACCCATCGCGCAGGCTGCCTAGGGAGGTTCTGGACAAGCTGCTGGCCATGCTACTGTTCCCCACCGCCCCAGACAGCGTGCACACGCTGTGCGCCGGCGTGCTGCGGGATTTGGGGCCCCGGCTCGCCCCCGCGCTGCCCCACGCCTCCGAGCCGGTGCCTGGGGACAACACTGCCACTCCTCCCACCCCCACTGCGAGCCCTGCCGGTGCCACCGCCACGGAGCCTCCGCTGCTCTCCTTGACACTGCTGTGCGATGACGTGGCGGCCCTGGACGCCTCGACCCTGACTCGCCTGGCGCCCGTGCTGCTCGCTCAGGTGAACGGCTCACCATGGTGATGGGCTCTTTGCTCGGTAAATTAGGGCGTTGCCCGCTCGTTGACGGTGTCACCCGATTAACGGGATGGTCGGCGCGACCTCTGCCGCAGGGCAACGTGAACGGAGAGGTGCAGCAGCTGCTGGGACGAGTTTTGCGGCTGCTGGAGGGGAGGGGGGGCATCCCCGAGGGGGGCTCGGGGGCCCCCCGCTTGCTGGCTGTGCTGGCTCGCATCGTGCACCTCTACCCTGCCCTGCTCACCTCTGGTGAGACGACCTCGCTATGACCTTTTCCATGACCTCGTAATGACGCGCGGGGTCGCCTGTGCAGCGGCTCTTGTTTGCGCCGGCGTGGTTCTCGAGTTAAAGGCCGAATGACATCTGGGGAAGGTGGGTGTGGTGCAGTTTGTCTGATCATGGTGTCTGACCTCCCGGGTTCCCTTGCCCCGCTGTGCGTGTGGTGCGTGCGGTGTGCGCCACAGAGCAGTGCGACGCTGTGAGCCGCCGTCTCGCCCAGTGGCTCCGCTACACGGGGACCTCCCAAGGAGCCCCCTCCTCCCACTCCTCCTCCTCGGCCGGATTCTTCTCAGCGGCGCGGGGAAGCAGGTACCGCCATCCCGTTCCGGCCGCGGGAACGACCGTAAAGACCGTCACTTGCCCGTGAAGTCCATCAGCCCCGATAGCAATGGGTTTAACAGCGTGCTGATGAGACTGAGAAAGTCCAAACCCGTGCCAAGTTTTATTACAATTTGATGATCCTCATTTGCAAGAGTGACGTGGGGCACCAAAATTACAATAGAAATAATATGAAAAGAAAGAATGACAATTAAGCAAAAAAAAAACAAAATGGGGTAGTAAAGGTTGCTCACGCCTGCTGTTCCATTCTGGCTAGAGCTATTGAATGAGATGGAAGTATCAACACTTTACCCCTCCACACGAGGCCTCCCGTTCTACTAACTGTGGTGGGGTGGACAGAGGCGGTTGATTTAAGAAGCTTGCCTCATTGTTCCAACTGCTGCGTCTGGAGATCAAACCGGCGACCCGGTTTCAAGTCCGATGTGCTGACCGTCACTTGCACCCCGTCTACCACCACCCTCTCCTCCCCACTGTGCCCCTGCACCCCTAGCTGGCTCCTGTGCAGGAGGTGGACGGCAGCCCAGTGGGAGACTTCTTTACCGTGCTGTGCATTGGTCAGCACTACACCCACGAGCAGTGGCTGCACCTTCACTCCTTCTCCATGCTGCGCCTCTGGCTGCAGGCCTGCCTCACCCTCACCCCCGCTGGTAAGCTCGCCCCCCACCCCCCCGCTTCACCCCCCCACTCGCCCCGATAGCCTCCCTACCCCCCGCCGTGACCTCGACAATTACCGCGTTGTCGTCGAAGCAATAAATAAGCACTGAAGTAATAGGAGAGCGGCGGGGACACGAGGTAGCTCTGATAGAGACGAGAGAGCAGACGCCACCGGTCGGGATGCATGACGTTACACGCGCACACGCACAATCGCGCGGAACAAGGGCAGAAGGGATCGGCGGAGATCCGGCGCCATCATCCCTCGCAGAAGAGGAAAGGGAGCTAGAGGAGACGATGCATGCACGCGTGACCATTCACCGCCCCATGGCTCAGCGGCGGAGCAAGCCGCTCGCAATCGGGAGATCGCAAGTACAAATCCTGGTTGGGGGGGGGGGGAGGATGGTTGACCCACCTTGACACCCCCGCATGTTTAACCGACCTGGCCGCTGTCTCTGACCCCCATCTGTGACGTGCCACGCGTGTGGCCCCCGCCACCTCTGCGTAGAGGGGCGCGTGTCGTTGCCGGGCGGCTCGGTGTCATCGCTGGTGTCGGGGGCGTCGGCGGCGTCGGCGCAGGGCGGCGCCCGTGACCGCCTCGCGCGCGCCGCCTTCGAGTACAGCCTCCGCGTGCTGGGCCAGGCCGAGAGGAGTAAGGCCCGCTCACCGCCACTCTCGCTCACCACGACCGCCCACCACCACCGTCGCCACGCCAACAACGTTCGCTTACCACGCTCGCTCGCCACACATCTCACCTCCTTGTGTATCCGCCCCCTCCACCCACCCCTCATTTGTTCCTCCACAGAAGCCACGAAGAGGATTGACGCTGAACTCCAGGGAGCGGTGAGACGTGGTGCACACTCACTCGCATTGAAACAAACTTGCTCGACCCACGCTCAAGCACGCTCGCAATCTAACCATCGGCGTGTGTGTGGGCCTGTGCGTGCTCGTTCCAGTGCGTGGAGGAGGCACTGTCTCTGCTACAGTTGCTGTGCCGCCTGGACCCTGACCTCGTGACCCCAGCGTTCTCGGCCGTGTCGCGTCTCTCGGGGAGTCTCCTCTCCTCCCGATCGCACCCACGCGCCCTCCTCCCCGCCGCACACTTTCTGCTGCACCACGGTGAGGGGAACCGCACCGTCGCGCACAGTCCCGCGCCATCTGTCCTGCCGCCTTGCATTGACCACTCCGTGACCTCGCCACGTTTCCCACCCCCCACCCACCGTGGCGTAGGCGAGACGCTGGCGGTGGATGCCAGCGCCGCGTGCCGGGCGGCGCTGACGCGACTGCCCTCCGAGCTGGGTCGCGACCCCGTGACTTCTCAACTGCTGGTCACATTCTGCCGCCGCAACGCGTCGCGGCTGAGCGATGTCCTGCCAAGAACGTTTCCCAGCTTGCTCAAGGTGCCCGCTCCCCCTAACACCACTACTTGCATGACCTGTACCACCACCAGTACGCATCACCTCGACCACCACCAGCACGAATACCACCAGTACTGCCGCTACTGCTGCCGTGTAAATCACGAGGATATTTTTCCGCTGCATTTGAGGGGCCTGGACTGCTTGGGTAGACATCGTTTACAGGTCTTTCGTGGCCATGGGCCATTCGCTCAGCGGGGCCAATGGCGTGACCCAGCGTGACCCCGCGTGACCACATGTGACCCCGCGTGACCACACATGACCCCGCGTGACCCCGTTTGACCCCGCATGGCACAGCTGGTGGCGTGGCACACCGTGGCGCTGCTTCCCGACTTGGTGGAGCTCATGCCGGCGATAATGGGCCGGTCCACCGCCCTGGAGCTCTTCCACAGCCTCCTGGACCTGCCCGTCCTCACAGCCGCCCTGGCCCTGCGGTAACGCTCGCCTCCCCTCGCCTCCCCTCGCCTGCCCACTCCTCTCCTCCCCACTGGTCTCCTCCCCACTCCTATCTTACCCACTCCTCTCGTCCCCACTCCTCTCCTCCCCACTGGTCTCCTCCCCACTCCTATATTACCTACTCCTCTCCTCCCCACTCGTCTCCCCTCCCCACTCCTATCTTACCCACTCCTCTCCTCCCCACTCGTCTCCTCCCCACTCCTATCTTACCCACTCCTCTCCTCCTGTCTCCAAACCAACTCTCCACTCCTTCCCCTCCCCTGCACTCTCCTCCCCTCCCTTCTCTCCTCCCCTTACCCCCCCACTCCCCTCCCATCTCCTTCCTCCCCTGCCCTCTTCTCTCTTATATACCCGTATTTTAATAAGAAGAATAACAATTTCGATTTAAAGCTTTCGTGACTGCAGGGATTCATATTGTTGGTTCTTTCGGTAAAGTCCCGCTACTAGTCCATAATTGGCAAATAAGTAACGGCAAAGCTGTTATAAGTGACTCTCAGAATTGTGCGCAGTTGCGTATACAGTACACGACTTCCCTGAAGGCATCAACACCTTCAGTGAGCGCGATGTGGTTTGAATTCGATCCTCGATCGATGGCGCAGCCATCGCCGCACACGCGTCGAATAAAAAGCAAGGGACAAGTCCTTACTTACTAACAACTCGTATAATTTTTCATTGCTGGAGGGGTTGCCCACCCCCCCCACCTGAAAATCCCGGCTCCGCCATTGGCGCGATGCAGTTTTCACACCGAGGTGCCAGAACCCACGGAAAGGTGTGAGGAAGGCAGCCAGAACCGACGCTACCAGCAATTGTCCGAGCTCTGTTTAGCAAATATGCACTCCCCTCCCGTGTCTCCAGCTCATTCATCTCATACTTGCGTCTCTGTACAGGTACGAGGGGGGTGCCACCACCCCGAGCAGACCGGCGGGTGAGCTGCCCCACGAGGCAACCCTTGACCCCCTCACTCAGGGCATGCTGCGCTTCCTACTGAGGGAGGAGTCCGGCTTGGGAGATACCATTGACAAGTAAGGCGGGGTGGGGGGGATGGGAGGGAGATACCATTGACAAGTAAGGCACGGTGGGGTGGGGGGGATGTGGGGATGATACCATTGACAAGTAAGGCACGGTGGGGTGGATGGGCGGGAGATACCATTGACAAGTAAGGTGGGGTGGGGGGGATGGGGGGGAGATACAATTAATAGTAAGGCACGGTGGGGTGTGGGGGATGAGGATGATACCGTTGACAAGTAAGGCACGGTGTGGGCGGAGGGATGGGGGGAGATACCATTAATAGTAAGGCACGGTGGGGTGGGGGGCATGGGAAGGAGATACCATTGACAAGTAAGGCACGGTGGGGTGGGGGGGATGTGGGAGGGAGATACCATTGACAAGTAAGGCTTGGGGGGGAGATGCAATTGACAGAGCACAGAGGGCTATAATGATGACGTGGCGGTTGTGGTGGCTGCAGGCTGGCGATGCTGCACGGGGAGCTGGAGTCGCTGCGTGGGCACCGGCGCGTGCTGCTGTGCGCTCGCGCTGCCCCCGTCCTGCTCCACGCCTTCTTCTGCGCGCTGGCTCACGTGAGGCCCTAGCGCTATAGTCGTGTGCCACTCACGTGAGGGCCCCCACCCCCCCCCTGAGCTAGCGCTACAGTCACGTGCCACTCACGTGAGGGCCCCCACCCCTCCCCGCGAGCTAGCGCTACAGTCGCGTGCCACTCGCGCTCCCCTCTGTAGCCTTCGCGCCTCTCACCGTCGCTTTTGTGATTTGTTTTTGTCCGCGCAGCGGGCGGACGAGGAGGAGCTGGTGGCGGAGCTGTTCCCCGTGCTGCTGGAGCGGAGCACTCAGCTCTACGGCATCGCCGCCTTCCAAGCGGACGTGCTGCGGTACGGGAGTGGGGGGCCGTGGGGGGTAGCGGGTGGAGGTTTGGGGGTCGAGGGGGGGTCGGGGATGGCAGGGTTTGGGGATGAATTGAATTCGTAATTATGGTCATTGAGAGCTGACGTGACACGCTGTGTGTGTGTGGGCTTGTGCCCGTGTTCCAGTGTGTGTGTGTGTGTATATGTGCGTGTGTGGGGAGTGGGAGTGTAGTGGTTAACACGCTGCTGTACGAACCCGGCGACCCGAATTGGATTCCCACTCACGGCCAACACGAGTGAACGTTATCTGAACCGGTCATGGGCCTCCCCTAGGTCGACTCAACCTCAAATGAGGACCTGGTGCGGTGTGTAAACATCGCCACTGGGGAAACAAAGGTGGCCGGGCATGTGGTGCTAGCCACCCAACCCCTCGTGTGCCGTGCCGGCCTTCATAGGTCCTCGCTAACAGCACTTGCCCCAGCAGTCTGTTAAGGCTATACGGGGGATCTTTGTGTGTATGTGTGTGATGTGTTTGTGTGTGTGTGCAGTTTGCTGGGGGCGGAGGTGGAGCGTGTTTGCTCACTGCAGCCGTCGCTGCTGCTGGCGCACTCCGGAGACGTCGCCCACGTGGTCTCCTCTCTCTCCAGCCGCCCCGACCACGAGTCACTCCTCGTCAGCCTGGTACCAGCATCGCCACCACCGCCACTATCACCACCGCCACCACCAGCATCACCAGCACTGTCACCACCAGCACCAGCATCACCACAGTTGCTGTGGCTACTGGGTTTTACTTACAGTCGCCCTGCTTGCACTAAATGCCAGAACCCATGAGACCAGGGCCCATGCCAGGGCCTGGTGCTCTGGGCCTTGTTAATCTGCTCACAGTTACATGTGAGGAAAATGATGTATTGTCCATCTAAGGTTAGCGATCATCCACGTGGTGGGCAGTTGCACGTGACCGGTTTTGGGAACACCTGGACACCCGATGCCGAGGTTAGGGTGCGAGTCCCAAAGTCGATACGGCGTCCCTGCGCCGACCTCAACACCCAGGACCTCTGTGGAGTAACCCAAGCTGGTGTACCATGTGGTCTTCTTGGTTAACGTGCGGCTGGTTAACGTGCGGTTCCCGTGGTCACCGCGCGATTGCCGCACGGCTGCCGTGGCGTGCGCAGGTGTGGGCGGTGGGCGAGCACGCGCCGGGCGACGCGCCGCACACCACGCTCGCCGCCTACTTCGCGGCGCTGGAGACGCTGCTCTACGAGGCGCTGGCGTCCCAGCCCCCCCGCCACCCTCCCCGCGTGGTGGCAGCCGTGTGCTCCGCCCTGGCCAAGCTGGCGGCGCGGAGCCAGGACCTCATCCCACGGTGACGAAACAGCACCATCGCGCACGCACCATCATCATCATCGCCATCATTATCATCATCTCTCCGCGGAGAATACAATCGGGAGCGTTTAGCAGGCGTGGATGCGATTAAAGGTTGTGGAGTTAAGCGAAGATAACGGATTTAGCGTCTTACCTAGGTGTGCGCAGCCAGTATTGTTCTGGCTTCCTGGGTTTCATTCTCGCTTCCTGGATCTTGTCCTCAAGTTGCTGGATGCAGGCTCAAGCGAAACATCGTGCCTCTGATCGCTGAATTTGGCTGAAAAATTTGTTTGAAATCTCGCCCACAGTGAGCTGCGACGACGATGATTCGCGCGATAATAACATGACCGTTGAGTTTGATTGGCTGTGTCGGGTGGTGGAGGGTCTTGTGACGCAAAGTTGGCCGCATCATTGTGGGCCCAACACACAAGCTAATGGTGACTCAACGGGTTTCAATTACAGAGCGAGAAAACATGAAATCCGTGCCAGACGGGCGAGAGTAACGATGGAAAGGTGATCGGAGGGGAGGAGAGGGGGCAGTCAACAGGACGAGAGGTGGTGCAAATGAGATTAGAAGATTTTGGAGAATCAATTGTGCTTTATGTAAATAAGACACAAAAGCAACATCTGGGCCGCCTCCTCTTCACCAGACCACACTAACCAGCGTGGGGAAGTACGGTCAAACAGACCTGCGTGACCACCTTACCCAGTGTGGGCGAGACCTTCATCCATCTGGCAGTGGATTGGCAGAGGGCTGTTTTTATTAGTTGGTGCGCACGTTTGGAGTGATGTTGATTGTGTGGCCGTGCGGCTGCCCCGTCCGTGGAACAGAGGTCGCAACCGGGTACCCGATACCCGTACCCTACCCGATACCCGGCTACCCGTACCCGGCCGGGTACTTGTACCCATTTGCGACCCTGGTGCGGCCGGGTACGGGTAAGCCGTGCGTCACTGGTGAGTAACTGTTTGTCAGTCCTTTCCCAACGTCTTGTGTCTCTTCTCACAATTCAAGTTCCTAGAATTAACCCACCCACGCCTGCAACATGGCTTCATCCCAGAGGTCGCAATCAGGTACCCGATACCCGTACCCGGCTGGGTACGGGTATAGGGTACGGGTACGGCCGGGTACGGGTACCCGTTTGCGACCCTGGTGCGGCCGGGTACGGGTAAGGAATCAAAACCCGTTTGCGACCTCTGCCGTGGAACCTTTCCACCTGCCGTCTTTCGTCGCCTCTGCAGACCTCCGCGTCACCACGAGGGGGCTCCACCGCGTCACCTGTGTTGCTCCGTTGTGGCTGCCCCCTCCCAGCAGTCTGGATCAACCATGTCCCCCCCCAGTCGCCTGTCCTGTCGGCTCCCTGCCCCCTGTTCAATCCCGGCTCAAAGCCCATTTTCTCTGCCTATAACAGACGACCTAAAATTAATCCCAAGAATACGAGGTGAATCTTTATTTGAAGCTTTCGTGACTGCAGGAATCCATACTCTTTGGTTCTTTCGGTAAAGTCACGTAGGTAGAAATAAATGTTTTGGACCGGGTTCGCGAACACAAGGCAGATCTGAAACACGGCAGACCCAATACCTCTGCCGTGGCTGACCATTGTTATAACGCTGTGGGCTCGCATGATATTGTTTTTTCCCGAGACCAAGGTACTCTGCAAACCTTCGGGCAGCTATCAAAGGTTTGTTCATGAAGCCATCCAGATATATAAACATAGACATAACTTCAACCGAGAAGATGGATACAAATTTAGATATTATTGGAAGGATGTTATTAACCAGGTAAAGCCTTAACTGATTGTGGTTGTTTCCATCAAACCTGCCGGGTACTAGTCTATTTTTCCGAGTTACTTTCCCCACCGTGTCCCCAGCTTCCCACTTCTAGCCCTGCTTACTTCTCCCCCAGCCTCACTTCTTCTCCCCCTAGCGCTCACGCAGTCCTCCCCCCCTTTCTTACCTATATAACCTCTTGGCAAGGCAGCTCTCTCGCCGACTTCAGCAATATTTTTTCTTGCTGTGGTTGTTCCACCATATGAGGATTGCTTGTGTTGCGATCGAAATGTCGCGATTTATTTTATTTTATTTCTACCTACGTGACCTTACCGAAAGAACCAAAGAGTAATAATACGAGGTGAATGACTGCTCTAGGCAATATATGTTGATATCACTATTCATGTTCGAGTGTACGGCATTCTTGTGTGGGGCATCAATATTAATGAGCGTGTGGGCATTGGCTTGCGCACTGCTCACAATAGCTGGCAAGTGTATGAATATGCAGCATTATTTGGCGATGTTGCTGCAAGCACCAATAACAACCCCAATATGCTCGTCAACAACGCTGCCTTGGCAATGGCCCTTCGTAGCGCGTGATATGAACAGCACAGAATAATTGTATTCTGTTAAAATTATTAACGTCATTTTACATGCCATGAAGAAGGCACATTGCCCAAAATGTTGCGTAGAATGTCTTTTTCTTTTTAATGCCACCACAGTGGTATTGACAAATGCGTTGAGGCTTTTAATGAATATTCATAAGCTTGAGGGCAGAGTCTGAGATGCGGGACCATTATCCCCCCCCCCCACCTCGTGAATGGCTGCCTGCTCATTGAGAGCGCAGCATCAATTATTGATGTCAGCCACTGCCGTTAATCCGCTTGGCTACGTGGCTCCATCGTCATCGATTCACGTGCCGTCGCTGCCCTGTTTCATTCGGGTTTCGGAGGCAGCAGCGGGTGATTTGGAAACCATGCTGATTGGGAAATTGTGCTAATTGGAGGTACGGGGGAAAGAAAACAAACTAGGCACAAAAAGCAGCTTTAAATAAATGTTTTAAATCTATCTCTTTAAAATGCGTAGCTCCAGTGGCATCCTAATATCGGCAGCAAGAGCGTTCCAGACAGCCACAGAAGCGCGATGCGGTGACGACGATTGCGTCATGTCACTTATGTTGCATGTGCCCCCACCGCCCCCCCCCCCCCCCCTGCAGGCTGCAGCTCGGCCTGGGCAAGGTGTGCACGCAGTACGGGGCAAGCGGCGGGCGCGGCGCTAGCGCCAGCGCGCGGGAGCTGGCGTCGCGAGCGCGGGAGCTCTCCGGCCTGGTGGCGCAGCCCACGACGGCCCAGTGCGTGCTGGGCGGCACCGCCGCGATGCCGGCGTCGCTCCTCCACCACCAACGCGACCCGCACACCGTGCCGCCGCTGGCGCTCGCCGCGCTGTGCTGCGACGAGCGTTACGCCTGATATCCGCCGGCACCTGCATCTATGGGGCGTGCCTGGGGCTACCTGGGCACACGCTTGGATGTGACCTGGAGCACACTGTGGACAGCCCTGCGCGCACGCGTAAATAACGTGGGTGCGCCTGAATACACCTGTGGACAGACTTCTCTAAGCACGCACCCATGGATGCGGGGATTCACAAGTACACTGTGCACACCTGTGCACACCTGTGGATGCATGGGAGACACTGGAGAGAGGGAATGCCATCTGTCCGGGTTTTATCTGCACAGTGAAGCCTGGGAACTGGAGTGATTGTTCAGGCGGCACAAATAAATTTGTATCGGGATCTGGTAACGGGTAATGCTGCGCTGATCTTCCTTACCGCCACACTGCGGTTGTGACGATGGGCCCTAGTCTGACTTGAAGTAATGGCCAGGTTTGGTCTTTGGTGGGAATGGTGGCCACCTGCGGATGCGTGGGACACACCTGTGCAAACAAGGCGGTGTGGTTTGCGTAGTCGAGTCAAAAAACAGCCAAGGACAAATCGCATCCGTGCTGCTGCTGTTACTCTCCCACATCCTCCGGACCTTGCCGTGCTGCCCTTGGAGGGGGGGGGGGGGGCAGTGGGGAGTCGTGGTGCAGTGATGGATGACGCGCGAGTGGGCGACGTGGTGATGTAATGCGAGTCGGGACCTTGTCGAACAAAACACAATGAGCGGAGAGGAAGTGACCCTTGGGACCCGTTGGCCTGTGCCACGGCTCCTGCAAATGGTGTGCGGGGGAGGCAGTGGCAGGGTTGGTGGATCAAACGGAGATCTGTGGACCCACATGCAGTACAGCAAGGTGGCAGTTCACTCGTGTGCGTACCAGACTTTAGAGCATCGCCCCTTCGTTTGTCGAGTCTTTCTCCGGGTACTCACGATTTTTTCTCCTGGAGATACAAAACGACCCTGTAACCATACTTATGCGCAAAGTAAAACGCACAGAGCCAATGACCAAATCGTCCCAAATGTCCCCCATTCCGAGCCAAGCAGGCTTGGGCCTGAATAGCGCTTGGCATGGGCGACCACCGTGCTGATGAAGCAGGTGCTGTCGGCTGCGGACGTCGCTACGTTGTAAGCGGAGGGCAGCGCAAGAAAATCCATTGCTTTACTGCACCTGGCCCGGTATGGAGAAGTCGCCTGTCTCTACCTCCCCGAACAGCTTTGTGTAATTACAAGATGTTTAATTTTCTTTGTCGGTGTCCCTTGTGTTGCATCAGGTGGTACGTGCCGATCCAGAACCTGTATGCGTCTTGGTTGTGTTACACTGTCGCGTGAAAACCGGTACAAAATGGCACATCTTTACTCACCAATGCAGTTGAGGTTATGGAGGCCTACAGCCCAGAACCCCCCTGCCTCCTCCCGTCTTGCCTGAACGGTTCAGCCCAAAAAGAAGCGCACCCAAACCCAGTTAGGGACCTTGGCAAGTCATGACCGATAAATTGTAGATGATAATGAAACAAGACGAGTAGAGAAAAAAAACTGAACCATTAACCTTTATAGAGACAGTAAACGCTTTGTTTTGTTAAACATGGTCATGCGGCGACATTTTTTTTAAACGCGTCCTTTTAATATCTTGCCATTGCTGTGATAACCCACGTGACCCTAAAAATCTGGCCAAACGCGGCACAGTTTTGTTGTGCAGCAAGGAGAGAGGTGTACAATGGGGGGGTGGGGTGGCGGTCGTGGTTGAAAGAAATTCTGCACAACTTCCACCAGATACTCCAGCCTGTGATACGGAGCAATGGATGCAATCGCAGGAAGCAAGAGTTGTGGGGAAATTACACTTTTCCAACTTCAGTTGTGACCCTCAATTCGATCTTTACCCCCCCCCCCCCCCCCCAAATCAAACGCGGGACACGTTGCTCAAAACTGTGCAGTGGTAACCTGCGGTAAGTTCAGAGTCATACAAATCAACTCCTGCCACCAGAAGGTGAATGCCAATTCCCGCGCTGTCCAGTTCTTTGCCTGGATAGGCAGCCAACTCGGTGTTAAGGCTGCATTATGTGCTTGGGAGCCACAGTTCGTGGTAGGGGGTTTGGGATTACGGATTCGAGTTAGGGGAGCTGGTCTAGTGCATCTATCCCATCCCTGGTCCAGCCACCCCTCGGTTTGTGCACTTCACATGGTGGGCGGGAAGTCCCCCGAAACCCTGACCTGCACCAGAAACAAGAGGCGCTTTATCCAGAGGTATAGTGACTTCCCATCCACCCTGCAAATAGATACATATACATACATACAATATAGTACACACACACAGGGCTCCCTTATCACCTGGTCCCTACTACAAGTTAATGGATTGGTTAGTAAACACACGGCTCGGCGTAGTTGCAGGCACACTGCAGGTGGGAGCGCGCAGAGTTCCTCGGCTGCGCGGGTGAATCTGCTGTCCACCCGCACCGACCTTGCCGTGAACGCGCCTGCTCCCAGAGAGTACGCAGCTGCGGCGCCTGGTTAGTGCAGTGCGCTCGCAAAGGGGGAAGATTGAATTGCCAGCACAGCGAGCGGCTTTGTAAAGACCCATCTCCGGTTTCCTCCGAAACGCAACGCTAAAAATCGCACGCTCGTGTCGTGGTAGCACCCTCCAGAAAAACGGGCCTTGAGACTCTGGACGAGGCTCTCCTGGGTAAATGCATCGCTCTCAAAACAACAAGAATAATAATATTACTACACAGCACTGGTAGGCATATATATGGGCATACTGACATAAAAAAAAAAGACCCGGCTCACACGTTCCATCGCTCGCACATGTCCACGTTACTATGGAACGACGAGGCATCCACGATAGCATACGCCGCCGCTTTGCTCTTCGGCGTTTTGTGCGTAACGCGGCCCCCGCGGTGCACAGGGCGAGGCTCCGACGTGAAGCCGGTTCTGGGGGTTTTGCTGCTGAAACAAATGCCGCTGGGAAGACTGGCTCAGAAGGCAGCTGGGATGATGGACATGAAAGTGATTTTACTGGAAGTGGGGGACGGGGGGGGGGGTAGCGTAAGGGCATAGGGGCTGGAGATGCTTCAGGTGGCGGCAGCTCCGGGCGGAAGAGGCTCTGGGTGTCTCCACGCTGGTTGGCCCCTAGGTGAGCACCGTGCGTGGCACCTGGTGTCGCATGGAGCCCCGGGTGGTCACGGGTGTGGAGCTGTCCGGGCCCCCAGGGGGGGAATACTGGGGGTGGGGGGTGGGGGGGGGAATGTGGGGGTCAGTGAGGTATCCTGATCCCACAGGACAGAACCTTGGTTCATGTTCCCCTGTTTGCATGCCTCCCATGTCCCATGTCTTTGCATCCCCATGTGTCCCTAATCGCCATCTACCACTCCACTGCGTCCCTTCGTCTGTGGTATCTGTCTCCTGTTCCATGTCCCCTGTGGTCCCCTGTGGTCTCCAAGTCTGTCCCCCTGTCACCCTATCCCCCTGTCACCCTATCCCCCTGTCCCCCAGTCACTCTGTCACCCTGTCCCCCTGTCCCCGTGTCCACCCTGTCCCCGTGTCTACCCTGTCCCCGTGTCACCTCGTCACCCTTTCTCCGTGTCCCCATGCTCACCGAGGGTGGGGGTGAGTGGCGTCCGATGAGTGGGACGTTCTCGTAGCGCGGGTTCCCAAACGCGGCGCTCTGGTTCCTGACGTCCGAAAAGAGAAACGATAGCACTACAACCACCACTACTACCACCACAACCAGTAAAACCACCACTACAACCAGTAAAACCACCACCACAACCAGTAAAACCACCACTACTATAACCACGACAACCACCACAACCACCACGACAACCAGTGAAACCACCACTACAACCAACCACCACCATAACAACCATCACTATCACTGCTGGATGAAGACCTCTCGACGCTGTCGGTTGAGCTTTTTGTTTACCATGCTTCACCACGCTGGTCAGTGCAGGTTGGTGAAGCGAGCGGCCTAGGACCAGTTCAAATCTCGCTCACCACTGGTGTTAAGCGCTGGCTGGCAATCAAACCAGGTTCATGGTGCGGTGCGCTAACCACGGCGCCACCCCTCCACGCCTATCCCTCCACCCGCTCTCGACGAGCCCTCCGCCGCGTACTCGGACTCGCATGTACTCGGACTCACACGCGTACTCGGACTCACATGTACTCGGAGATGGGTGCGTTGGTGACGGACTGCGAAGGGGGCCGTGCGCTGCCCAGGCTGCCCAGGCTGCCCCCGGGGAAGCTGTAGAGGCCGGGGAAGGTTGTGCGCAGGGGGGCAGGCCCCCCCCCTGGTCCGGGGCCCCGCCTCCGAGACCCCCGCGGGTTGAAGGGGTCCCCCCTGGCACCCGCGCACACCTCGTCGTCGCCGTCGTCGTCGTAGTCGTCGCAGTCCCGCGGCCTACAGGGACCGCGCCGACACCAGCGCCCCAACCACACTGAGTACAACCACACACCACACACGCACCCCACATGCACCCCCACACGCACCACCCCCTAAACACACACCCCGGTTGTACACCCAAGAAGGAGGAACAGATTCCGTATCCCGAGGCCACGTGGTTTTTTTGGTTTCCACGCTCTCTGGAAGGGGGCCGGCCCGGTGGTTTGTGACCCCCGGTTCCCTGGGCCGCCGCATTCTTCCCACTGGCCGGTTGATGGTGGGCACGCCGCAACAATCGTCTCGGATCCTCCGCTCCCCCAGGTCCCCCCAACACCCCCCCCCCCCCCCCGTGGGCCCCAGGTACCCTTTCCCTGTTCCTCCCCGATGCTGCCATGATTCCACAATGATGAGAAATGAGGTTCGGGCCGTGTAGCTCAACCACGGCTGCTACGTCCCCCCCCCCCTGCCCGACACTATAGGACTGGAGGGCGGCAATCACAATCGGCGATGGTTCGCGTGCACTCGGCTCCGATCTGCGCTATCCCAACCTCGGGTCGCTGTTTTAGAATTTTCTGCCGTTGATTTTTTTTTTTTTCAACGACGATGCGTCCCTCGACTCCCGTCGCAGCAGCGGCAGGAGACCGTCTCCTCTTCCCCGGTTCCGTGACACTCGCGACCTCGCGACCTTGATGCGGCTGGGCTAAGGGCGCAGCGGCTTCTGCCATGTGGGTCTGGCCGCCCAGAAAGAGCCGGCCGCGTGGCCCGGCGGGTGGGGCCTAGCTCCGCTCGCTCGCTCCCCACGCCTGGAGCCGCGCTCCTGGAGCCGCGCTCCCCACGCCTCTCCACGTGACCCCAGGTCCCCGGGGTTTACCCTGCGCTGGGGGTCGCGTACTCCGAGTCGCAGGGGGCAGAGGGCACGGGCGGGGATGGAGACGCATCCGGGCTGAACTCATCCCCCCACGACAGCTTAGAGGGGAGACTGGGGGACACGGGAACACGGGGATACAGGGACACGGGACATAGGAATACGGGACACGGGACATAGGAACACGGGTATAGGAACATGGGAACATAGGGGTACAGAGACATGGGGAAACGAGGACCGTGGAGACGGGGAGACAGGGTGGGACAGGGTGGGACAAGGTCGTGAAGCGGACATTGAGGACGGGGATGAGGCGGAGGAGACAAATGAGAAGAAAGACGAGACGAGGTGTAAGTCATCTCATGAGACACGATGGCGCGGCGGGAGGATGGAGTACATTTTTTGGGAAGCATGGGGGGCATGGGGGGGGGGGTCAAGTCCCCCAAGGCACAGGGGGGGGTGGGCAAGGGCAACCTGGTTGTGTGCACGTGTAGGTGTGTAAGTGCGCCTAGCCTGGCAGGAGGGTGGTGGTGACGGGGCTCCACCACCTATAGGTGTCAGCTGTTGTGCGTGTGTGAGCCAGTGACAGGATGGAGTGTGTGTGTGCTTCAGGTGTGTGCAGTGTGCCCGCACCTGCTGCCCGCGCGGTGCCAGGATCGCGGGGCAGCGCACACGACGGCGTTGAACGCCAGCGCCGCCAGCACGGAGCCGAGCGCCAGCAGCAGGAGCCCCCAGAGCCCGTCCCGGCACAACCCGTGCAGCCCTTCCACGTAGTCCTACAGGGCGGCAACACAGCAGAAGTGAGGAGGGGCGGGGGTCCTGGATAGCCCAGCAGGGGTGGCGGAACATCTTGGCCCTCCAAGCCACGAGCGAAGGCCCGGCGCACAGTAGCACATGGGGAAGGCCCAGACCTTGTGTAGGCCTCGGCAGTCGAGGAGGGCTGTGAGGAGATGCAGCTGAGTCTCTGTGCCGTTGAGCTCCCCTTGCAGGTTCAACACTTGTCTCTGTCGCACACACATAGGGCACACACATACGGCACACACACCACCGGACACACCACCGCACACACCACCACACCAGGACAGTGAGCACCTATGAAGGCCGGCACGACGCACGAGGTAAGGCAGTGGGCAGAACCACGTCCGGCCACATTTGTCTCCCCAGTGCTGAAGTTTACACAGCGTGCCAGGCACTCCTGAAGGATGAGTCGACCTAGGTTAGGCCAAAGAGCAGCCGATGTCTAATTTGCCAGCAATGTTATCCATTGTGACATGCTGCTGCACTACTCCGAACGCACAGACACGAGCACTCGGAGCGCGCGCTCGATCTCGTCGGATCCTTGAAGCCGAGCAGGGTAGAGCCTGGTTGATACTCGTCTGTGAGCGAGTGGTGGTGAGGGAGAGTGGTGGTGAGGGCGAGTGGTGGTGAGGGCGAGTGGTGGTGAGGGCGAGTGGTGGTGAGGGCGAGTGGTGCTCACCCGGGCAGAAGGGAAGTCTCGGGCAGATGCGGCGAGGAGCCCCTGGACTTCTCCCTGTGCGGCTGACAGAGCCTTCTGACTCGCGGTGAGATCCTGGGGGGCAGCAGGCGAGTGGGGAGGGGGGCAGGTTTTGAGCAAGGAGAGGAGCACAACTTCTGACCTGTGACCTTCACAATCACTCGCCCTCACCCACCGATCACCCGGACTCATCCCTCACCCACCACCCATCCCTCACCACCCATCCCTGACCACCCATCCCTCACCACCCATCCCTCACCCTCACTCATCCCTGACCCTCACTCATCACTCACCCTCACTCATCACTCACCCTCACTCATCACTCACCCTCACTCACCACCCATCCCTCACCACCCATCCCTCACCACCCATCCCCACCACCCATCCCTGACCACCCATCCCTCCCTCACCACCCATCCCTCACCCTCACTCATCCCTCACCCTCACTCATCACTCACCCTCACTCATCACTCACCCTCACTCACCACCCATCCCTCACCACCCATCCCCACCACCCATCCCTCACCACCCATCCCTCACCACCCATCCCCTCACCCTCACTCATCACTCACCCTCACTCATCACCCATCACTCACCCTCACTCATCACTCACCCTCACTCATCACTCACCCTCACTCACCACCCATCCCTCACCACCCATCCCTCACCACCCATCCCTCACCACCCATCCCTCACCCTCACTCATCACCCATCACTCACCCTCACTCACCACCCATCCCTCACCCATCACCCATCCCTCACCTGCTGCAAGGGGTTCCCAACTCCCGGAGGACAGTAGAGGTAATAGTCCAGGAGCTCTGCAGATGAGACGCACGCAGACAACCATCAGCATCACCACCACCATCAGCATCACCACCACCAACATCAGCATCACCACCACCAACATCAGTATCACCATCAGCATCACCACCATCCGCATCACCACCACCACCACCACCATCAGCATCACCACCACCAACATCAGCATCAGCATCACCACCATCAGCATCACCACCATCAGAATCACCATCACCACCACCATCACCAACATCAGCATCACCATCAGCATCACCACCATCACCACCATCACCATCACCACCGTCACCATGACCACCATCACCACCACCATCAGCATCACCACCGCCGCCATGACCACCATCAGCATAATGGGCAGGGGTAGGAGGTCTGGCGTGGGTGTGTAGTGGTAGTGAGTGTGTGCGAGTGTGTGAGTGTAGGGGTGAGCGCATACCTTTGCTGGCGCGGTCCTGGCGACTCACGTTCACGATGAACTGGTCAGGAGCCACACAGAAGTCCGCAACACCCTGCAAGCTCAGGCACAATCACACCGCAATCACACGCACAATCACACGCAATCACACGCACAATCACACGCAATCACGCGCCATCACACGCAATCACATGCACAATCAACAATAAAGACAAATATCCCCCTATAGCCTCAACAGACTGTAGGGGCAAGTGATGTTCGCGAGCACCTATGAATGCCGACACAGCACACCAAGATAACCACACACACACGATCACACACACACAACAACAACAGCCGCACTTCACCACCAAGTGGTGGTGATGTCATCACAGCGCTTGTGCCAGGCTAGGTGCGCTTGGAGGCCATCGCGTGAAGTGTGGAAGGTTTCGCTGTTGGCAAGGAGGTCACGGAACAGACCCAGGTGCCATGAGGTGACCACCTGTGCCACCTCGCTGCGTTGTCGTATGTCGTGGTCACGCACACGCAACACGGGATACACCCCACGCACACATCCCCCCGCCTTTGCAGTGTCAGGGTGTCCCTGTCTGCTTTCAAGTCTGCAAGGTGGCACTGCAGTGGTTGACGCGCCTCGTAGCAAGAGGTTTTCCCAGAGTTCCATTCCCGAACCGGGCGACTTTCTCTGTGAAGGTTGTCCGCTCTCTCCCTCTTCTTGGAAATGTTCTCGACCTGAGGACGGCTGCTTGCATTGTGGCCGAAACGTCGTGAGAATTGTATTTAATGTTAAATTTTTATTATTTTATTATTTCCATTCTACGTGACTTCACCGAAAGAACCAAGAAGATGAATCCCTGCAGTCACGAACGCTCTCTCCCTGTTGTTCTGCATGGGGTTTCATCAGGATTCTCCGGTTTCCTCCCGTAACTAAATACAAGCACGCTACTGTAAGCCGGTATTCGCCCAAATATCCCATTGCCGAAAGGTCACTCGCAACTTAGTGGGTTGGGATCACAGCAGCAGCATCGTCGTGGTAGGGCCCTTCTGACGAAACGAGCCTGGGGACTCGGCAGGGTGGACGAGCGAAATAACGAGGATGACGAATAACGAGGACGATTGACACGCACGTCTGGGGGTCTCTCTCCACCTCGACATTCCGGTTCTGAGAGCCTCGAGGGTCAAAGGAGGGGTCTGTGTGTGAGAGAGAGAGTGAGCAGTGAGCAGTGAGTGGGAGTGAATCCGAGTGATGGAGTGCGAGTGAGCGGTGTGAGAGTGCGAGTGAGAGTGCAGTGAGAGTGTGAGTGAGTGGTGTGAGTGCGGGTGAATAGTGAGGGCATGCGAGTGAAAGTGCGAGTGAGTGGTAAAAATGCAAGCGAGCAGTCAGAGCGAATGGTAAGAGTGCGAGCGAGCGGTGTGAGAGTGTCAGTGAGCGGTGTGAGAGTGCAAGTGAGCGGTGAGAGCGAGCGATGAGTGGTGAGCGAGTGGTGAGTGCAAGTGAGCGAGTGGCGAGTGGTGAGCGAGTGGTGAGCGAGTGGCGATTGCGAGTGAGCGAGTGGTGCGGGTGAGCGAGTGGTGAGCGAGTGGTGAGTGCCCGTCCTCACCACGCCGAGCGCGAGCTCGAACGCCAGCGAGGCCCAGCACAGCAGCAGGGAGAGCGAGGCGAACACCGTGAGCCTGGCACAAAGACAAACGTCCCCCGGGAAGCCTTCGTCAAGATTCGCATTACTGTGAGAGACCCCCATCATCCCTCTACCCCAATCCCCTCCCCCTGTAGGACACCCACGGGACCCCCTGTGGCACCCTCGTCAGACCCCCGTCAGACCCCTGTGAGCCCCTCTGTGACCCCCGTGGGCCCCCATGGGGACCCCGTGGGACCCCGTGGGACTCAGGCGAGATCCCTGCGAGACCCTCTTGGATCCTTGTAGGACCCCCTCCCCCATGGGCCTCCTTGTGCATGTGACCCCATGTTACCCCTGCGAGACCCCGTGGGGACCCCATGTTACCCCTGTGAGACCCCGTGTGGACCCCATGTTACCCCTGCGAGACCCCGTGGGGACCCCATGTTACCCCTGTGAGACCCCGTGTGGACCCCATGTTACCCCTGCGAGACCCCGTGGGGACCCCATGTTACCCCTGTGAGACCCCGTGTGGACCCCATGTTACCCCTGCGAGACCCCGTGGGGACCCCATGTTACCCCTGCGAGACCCCGTGGGGACCCCATGAGACCCCGTGAGACCCCCGTGCTACTGACGAGATGAGCAAGCAGGGAGCGCGCGTGGCGATGCCCAGCAGCACGAGCAGGCAGGAGAACAGCTGGGCGAGTAGCAGCAGCAGCGTGCCCGGCCACCTGCAGGGGCACACGGGCCCGCGCCGTGAGCACCACGCCACGAGCACCACGCCACGAGCACCACGCCACGAGCACACCGCACTGCACTGCACCGTGAGCACGCCGCACCACACCACACCACGAGTACCGCACTGCCAGTAGCACACTGCACCACGCCGCACTACACCGCACTGCACCGCAGGGCACTGCACTGCACTGCAAGCACATCACGAGCACCGCGCCGCACTGCACCGCGCCGCACTGCACCGCGCCGCACTGCACCACACCACACCGCACTGCACTGCAAGCACATCACGAGCACCGCAACGCGAGCACGCCACACCATGATCGCAGCGCACCACACCGCTGCTCCATCACGGCACGGCAGCAGCACACCAGAAGCACCGCAGGTCGAGTCCCAACACCCCTCCCCCCCCAGGCAATTCCCACCCCGTGGCCCCTCCCACCCTCCCACCTCAATGACCCCCCCCCCCCTCCCACTAATGGATCTGTATCGATTGCAGCTGAGTTTGCAGAGATCGGCTCCACGTGGCTGGGGATGTTGCTGCTCGTCGAGGCGATGTTGTTGTTGTTTGTTCCGATGTTGCTGACGCGATGTCGTCATCGGTCGAGTTGTTTGTGGTGGCGGCGGCAGCGGTGGAGGTGACGTGTCGAACGGTGGCGCAGCGGTTAGGGGGCCGCGCCGCGAACCCGCCAAACCCGAGTTCGATTCCCGCTCACGGCCACCAACACCAGTGAAGATTGTCTGAACCGGTGGTGGACCCCCCTCGGGTTGATTCAACCTCAAATGAGTACCTGGTGCGGCGTGTAAAACATCAGCACTGGAGAGACAAAGGTGGCCGGGCGTGGTGGTGATCACCCAGCCCCTTGTGTGCCGTGCGGCCCTTCATAGGTGCTCACTAACAGCGCCTGCCCCAACAGCCTGTTAGAGGCTATGCGGGGGATCATTTGAATTGATGGTCGAGTTGAGGATTTAACTTTGGTGGTGGTGGCAGTGGTGGTGCAGTGACACTCATAGTGAGTTACAGACCCCCCCTCGGTTCCCACCCCCCCACCCCGTGACCCTCACCCCACCACCCCCCAATCCTCACCCCCCCCCACCCTCAACCCCCCGACCCTCACCCCCCCACCTCCCGACCCCCACCCCCCCACCCCCCCACCCCCCGACCCTCACCCCCCCACCCTCACCCTCATCCCCCCCACCCTCACCCTCATCCCCCCCACCCTCATCCCCCCCACCCTCACCCCCCCCCCCCCACTCCCACCCCCCAACCCTCACCCCACCTCACCCCCACCCCCAACCTCACCCCCCACCCTCACCCCTCCCCCACCCTCACCCCCCCCACCCTCACCCCCAACCTCACCCCCCCCACCCTCATCCCCCCCACCCTCATCCCCCCCTCCCTCATCCCCCCCCCCTCACCCCCACCCTCACCCCCCCCCCACCCTCACCCCCCCCCCATTCTCCCCCACCCCACCCCCTTCACCCCCCCTCCCCCCCCGGCCCCTCACCTGTAGCCCTCAAACTCCGCGGTGGCCTCGGACAGCTGCTGCAGCGAGGGCAGCGGGGCCCCCATGGCGGGGTCCCCCCCACCAAGGGGGGGGAGGAAGGGGGCCCCGGGGCCCCCCGCGTGGGAGAAGACCCCCCCCGTGGGCAGGGTGGGCAGGGCCGCTGTGAGGGTGAGCGCGTGGCCCCTCGCCGCCTCCAGGCGCGACAGCAGGTCCCTGCGGCCTCCAAACACCTCGCCCAGACGCTCCATCTCCTGCGTGACGGCCCCCCCCACGCTGTCGTGCGTGCTCAGCACCTGGAGGAGGGTGAGCGGAGGTGGTGAGGGGAGGTGGTGAGGGGAGGTGGTGAGGGGAGGTGGTGAGATGGTGAGGGGAGGTGAGGTGAGGGTGGTGGTGGTAGGGCGAGGAGGTTGGTGAGAGATGGCTGGCTGGCTGAGGTGAGGTGAGTGAGTGTGGTGAGCGTGGTGAGTGAGTGAGTGTGGTGAGCACGGGGAGCGAGGTGAGTGTGGTGAGGGGAGGTGGTGAGGGTGGTGGTGGTGGTGGTAGGGCGAGGTGGTTGGTGAGAGATGGCTGGCTGGCTGAGGTGAGGTGAGCACGGGGAGCGAGGTGAGTGAGGTGAGTGAGGTGAGTGAATGAGGTGAGCGTGGTGAGTGTGGTGAGCGAGGTGCGTGAGGGTGGTGAGTGTGGTGAGGGTGGTGAGTGAGAGTGTGGTGAGCGTGGTGAGTAGGTGAGTGTGGTGAGTGAGTGTGGTGAGTGAGTGTGGTGAGTGAGTGTGGTGAGTGTGGTGAGTGTGGTGAGTGAGTGAGTGAGTGTGGTGAGTGTGGTGAGTGAGTGAGGTGAGTGTGGTGAGTGTGGTGAGTCTCACTCACCAGGCTGCTTGCTGTGTGCAGGGTGAGTGTGGTGAATGAGTGTGCAGGGTGAGTGTGGTGAGTGTGGTGAGTGAGTGTGGTGAGTGTGGTGAGTGAGTGTGGTGAGTGTGGTGAGTCTCACCAGGCTGCTTGCTGTGTGCAGGGTGAGGGTGGTGAGTGTGGTGAGTGTGGTGAGTGAGTGTGGTGAGTGTGGTGAGTGTGGTGAGTGTGGTGAGTGAGTGTGGTGAGTCTCACCAGGCTTCTTGCTGTGTGCAGGGTGAGTGTGGTGAGTGAGTGTGGTGAGTGTGGTGAGTGAGTGTGGTGAGTGAGTGTGGTGAGTGTGGTGAGTCTCACTCACCAGGCTGGCTGCTGTGTGCAGGGTGAGTGTGGTGAGTGAGTGTGGTGAGTGAGTGTGGTGAGTGAGTGTGGTGAGTGTGGTGAGTGTGGTGAGTGTGGTGAGTCTCACTCACCAGGCTGGCTGCTGTGTGCAGGGTGAGTGTGGTGAGTGAGTGTGGTGAGTGTGGTGAGTGAGTGTGGTGAGTCTCACTCACCAGGCTGGCTGCTGTGTGCAGGGTGAGTGTGGTGAGTGTGGTGAGTGTGGTGAGTCTCACTCACCAGGCTGGCTGCTGTGTGCAGGGTGAGTGTGGTGAGTGAGTGTGGTGAGTGAGTGTGCAGGGTGAGTGTGGTGAGTGAGTGTGGTGAGTGTGGTGAGTCTCACTCACCAGGCTGGCTGCTGTGTGCAGGGTGAGTGTGGTGAGTGAGTGTGGTGAGTGAGTGTGGTGAGTGTGGTGAGTGTGGTGAGTCTCACTCACCAGGCTGGCTGCTGTGTGCAGGGTGAGTGTGGTGAGTGAGTGTGGTGAGTGTGGTGAGTGAGTGTGGTGAGTCTCACTCACCAGGCTGGCTGCTGTGTGCAGGGTGAGTGTGGTGAGTGTGGTGAGTGTGGTGAGTCTCACTCACCAGGCTGGCTGCTGTGTGCAGGGTGAGTGTGGTGAGTGAGTGTGGTGAGTGAGTGTGCAGGGTGAGTGTGGTGAGTGAGTGTGCAGGGTGAGTGTGGTGAGTGAGTGTGGTGAGTGTGGTGAGTCTCACTCACCAGGCTGCTTGCTGTGTGCAGGGTGAGTGTGGTGAGTGTGGTGAGTGTGCAGGGTGAGTGTGGTGAGTGAGTGTGGTGAGTCTCACTCACCAGGCTGGCTGCTGTGTCCAGGGTGAGTGTGGTGAGTGAGTGTGGTGAGTCTCACTCACCAGGCTGGCTGCTGTGTGCAGGGTGAGTGTGGTGAGTGCGTGTGGTGAGTGAGTGTGGTGAGTGTGGTGAGTGAGTGGTGAGTGAGTGTGGTGAGTGTGGTGAGTCTCACTCACCAGGCTGGCTGCTGTGTGCAGGGTGAGTGAGTGAGTGAGTGTGGTGAGTGTGGTGAGTCTCACTCACCAGGCTGGCTGCTGTGTGCAGGGTGAGTGTGGTGAGTGAGTGTGGTGAGTGTGCAGGGTGAGTGTGGTGAGTGAGTGTGGTGAGTGTGGTGAGTCTCACTCACCAGGCTGGCTGCTGTGTGCAGGGTGAGTGTGGTGAGTGAGTGTGGTGAGTGCGGTGAGTGTGGTGAGTCTCACTCACCAGGCTGGCTGCTGTGTGCAGGGTGAGTGTGGTGAGTGAGTGTGGTGAGTGTTGTGAGTCTCACTCACCAGGCTGGCTGCTGTGTGCAGGGTGAGTGTGGTGAGTGAGTGTGGTGAGTGAGTGAGTGAGTGTGGTGAGTGTGGTGAGTGAGTGTGGTGAGTGTGGTGAGTCTCACTCACCAGGCTGGCTGCTGTGTGCAGGGTGAGTGAGTGAGTGTGGTGAGTGAGTGTGGTGAGTGAGTGTGGTGAGTGAGTGTGGTGAGTCTCACTCACCAGGCTGGCTGCTGTGTGCAGGGTGAGTGAGTGAGTGTGGTGAGTGAGTGTGGTGAGTCTCACTCACCAGGCTGGCTGCTGTGTGCAGGGTGAGTGTGGTGAGTGTGGTGAGTGTGGTGAGTGAGTGTGGTGAGTCTCACTCACCAGGCTGGCTGCTGTGTGCAGGGTGAGTGAGTGAGTGTGGTGAGTGTGGTGAGTGAGTGTGGTGAGTGAGTGTGGTGAGTCTCACTCACCAGGCTGGCTGCTGTGTGCAGGGTGAGTGAGTGAGTGTGGTGAGTGAGTGTGGTGAGTCTCACTCACCAGGCTGGCTGCTGTGTGCAGGGTGAGTGTGGTGAGTGTGGTGAGTGTGGTGAGTGAGTGTGGTGAGTCTCACTCACCAGGCTGGCTGCTGTGTGCAGGGTGAGTGAGTGAGTGTGGTGAGTGTGGTGAGTGAGTGTGGTGAGTGAGTGTGGTGAGTCTCACTCACCAGGCTGGCTGCTGTGTGCAGGGTGAGTGAGTGAGTGTGGTGAGTGAGTGTGGTGAGTCTCACTCACCAGGCTGGCTGCTGTGTGCAGGGTGAGTGTGGTGAGTGTGGTGAGTGTGGTGAGTGAGTGTGGTGAGTCTCACTCACCAGGCTGGCTGCTGTGTGCAGGGTGAGTGAGTGAGTGTGGTGAGTGTGGTGAGTGAGTGTGGTGAGTGAGTGTGGTGAGTCTCACTCACCAGGCTGGCTGCTGTGTGCAGGGTGAGTGAGTGAGTGTGGTGAGTGTGGTGAGTGAGTGTGGTGAGTGAGTGTGGTGAGTCTCACTCACCAGGCTGGCTGCTGTGTGCAGGGTGAGTGAGTGAGTGTGGTGAGTGTGGTGAGTGAGTGTGGTGAGTGAGTGTGGTGAGTCTCACTCACCAGGCTGGCTGCTGTGTGCAGGGTGCCATTGGCGCTGCTGAGCGCGTGGCAGAAGCGTTGGGCGCCATCGCTCGCCTCCCCGTTTCCATAGAAACCCAGACCCACAGCAACCCTGCACCCACCATCACCACCATCTTCATCATCAACAACACCAACATCATCATCACCATCACCGCCATCAACATCTATCACCACCATCATCATCACCACCATCACCGCCATCACACCATCAACATCTAGCATCACCACCATCATCATCAACAACACTATCAACATCTATCATCACCATCATCACCATCACCGCCATCATCATCATCAACAACACCAACATCACCACCATCATCACCATCACCGCCATCAACATCTATCACCACCATCACGCCATCAAAATCTATCACCACCATCATCATCAACATCATCAACAACACCAACATCATCACCATCACCGCCATCAACATCTATCACCACCATCATAACCATCACCGCCATCAACACCATCACGCCATCAAAATCTATCACCATCATCACCGCCATCACGCCATCAACATCTATCACCATCATCATCAACAACACCAACATCACCACCATCACCACCATCACACCATCAACATCTATCATCAACATCTATCACCACCATCATCACCATCATCATCATCAACAACACCATTATCATCACCATCACCGCCAACACCACCATTACCACCATCACCATCACCGCCATCAACATCACCACCATCACCACCATCACACCATCAACATCTATCATCAACATCTATCATCACCATCATCAACACCACCACCAACACCACCACCATCACCGCCACCACCGCCACCACACCATCAATATCTATCACCACCAACATCACCATCATCACCATCACCGCCATCACCGCCATCATCATCATCAACAACACCAACATCACCACCATCACCGCCATCAACATCTATCACCACCAACATCACCATCGGCGCCTCCGCCGCTGAATGAGCCGAGGTCACGGGTTCAGGCTCCGTTTCCCACGGATTCGTCCGTTCACTCGGAGGGAGGAAATGATGAACACGTGTTGCACACCACGCTGACACGAAGCCACGTGTTGCACACCACGCTGACACAAAGCCACGTGTTACACACCACGCTGACACACAGTCACGTGTTACACACCACGCTGACACAAAGCCACGTGTTACACACCACGCTGACACGAAGTCACGTGTTACACACCACGCTGACACACAACCACGTGTTACACACCACGCTGAAACAAAGACAAAGCCCCCCCCCCCCAGCGTGTAGCCTTTCAGAGGCTACACTGGGCAAGCTGCTGGGGGGGGGGGGGGTGGCAATGTGTTCTTGTTGAGTATCTACGGCACACGGGAGGGGTCTCGGTGGCCAGCCCCACGCCCGGCCGCCTTTGTCTCCCCGAGTGCAGGCGTGTGCACATCACCGCCCAAGCACTCGTTTCGGGCCGAGGTGACCTAGATGAGAGACCCCAAGACCGGTTCAGATATTCGTCGCTGATAACGCCATGAGCTAAAATCGAACTCGGGGTCCGCTGGGTTCGTACTGTGGGGCTGAACGATGAATCGATTTCAAATCGAAATCTCAATTTGAAACAATGCAATTAGCAAATCACAAAGGCTGCGATTTTTTTGCGATTTGCAAAGTCCGATTTATTTTCTTATTGGAAGTGATTTATTTTCTATTATTATAACTTTATTTAACTTAACAATTGTTCTATATTTGATTGTTCTATTTCAATTAAAACATTTAATTAAATACATGTTGGAAGCAATTCACGTCTTTGAAGTTATCATCCTTGCCTGCATTATAATATATCGAGCAGTTAATAGTTTGATGGTATCACGTGGTAATGATGCTCCATCACATGTTTTAAATCTATTACTCAGTGAATATTGAAATGAAGCTTGACTTGAAAAAATTGAGTCGCAATATTTGTCAGAAAAATCCGCAATTAGATATTTCCCCCACTGCCCTAGTTCGTAGCGCAGTGTGCCCGCCACTGCACTATCCATCCCCCACCCACACGCTCTGTCACACACACACACACGCTGTCACACACCCACCCACTCAGTGTGTGTGTGACAGCCACACATTGTCAGTACGATTCTGTTCACGTATGCGCATACAGTACCCTCATTCACACACTCAGCGACAAAGATCCCCCGTGTAGCATTCACACAGATTGTTGGGGCGAGTGATGTTAGCGAGCGCCTCTGTCTTCCCGATGCTAATGCGTATACAGTGCACTGGGTAATCAATTAAGGCTGAGTAAACCTCACATTCTCTCACACATACACTCAGATAAACACGCTCACACAGCCAATACACACACACCCTGACACTATCACCTACACACACACACCCTCACACTCTCACCTACACACACACACACACACCCTCACACTCTCACCTACACACACACACACACACCCTTACACACACACCTACACACACACACCCTTACACTCTCACCTACACACACACACCCTTACACACACACCTACACACACACCCTCACACTCTCACCTACACACACCCTCACACTCTCACCTACACACACACACCCTCACACTCTCACCTACACACACACACACACTGACACTCTCTCCTACACACACACCCCCTGACACTCTCACCTACACATCACACACCATCACACTCCCACCTACACACACACACACCCTCACACTCTCACCTACAAACACACACCCTCACACTCCCACCTACACACACACACCCTTACACACACACCTACACACACACACCCTTACACTCTCACCTACACACACACACCCTCACACTCCCACCTACACACACACACACCCTCACACTCTCACCTACAAACACACACACTCCCACCTACACACACACACCCTGACACTCTCACCTACACACACACCCTGACACTCTCACCTACACACACACACCCTCACACTCTCACCTACACACACACACTCTCACTCTCACCTACATACACACACCCACACACCCTCACACTCTCACCTACACACACACACCCTCACACTCTCACATACACACACACACACCCTGATACTCTCACCTACACACACACACCCTCACACTCTCACCTACACACACACACCCTCACACTCTCACCTACACACACACACTCTCACCTACACACACACATCCTCACACTCTCACCTACACACACACACACCCTTACACTCTTCACTACACATTCTCACTTACATACTCACACACACTCATCCTCCCACACTCTCACACTCTCTCTCTCTCTCACTCCCGATGACCCCACACATCGCTGCACACACAGCGACACTTTGTCAGTAGAATTCTCGTCCCTTTCTTTGGCCGGGAGCTGCCAGAATTCCTGGAAGGGGAGTGAGGGGTGGGGGGAAGTGGGGGGGGCAGGAACAGGAGCTGGGTGGGTGGTGGGAGGGGCTGACACCTGCAGCTGAGCCCAACACCACTCACACGACAACAACAACAAACAACAATAAACAACAACACCGGATGTCCTTTGTTTGACCGACGCCCATGGAGATGTCTTCTCTGAGCAGAACGAGCCCACGTGGGGACAAAGAGCAGCACACGTGGAGACGCCATAATCGCTCACAGAGACGATCCCACACGCCGTCTTGCACCGACACACACACACTCCACGTACACACTCAACACTCTCAGACACATTGATGCTCACTCTCTCACTCGGGGGTTGGGAGGTGAAGGGTGGGAACTGAGGGGTGTCTGTAGCTCAATATCGTGAGTGTCACTGCACCACCACCACCAGAGTTAAATCCTCAACATCAACTCCAAATGGCAACGATCCCCTGTATAGCCTTTAACAGGCTGTTGGGGCAAGTGCTGTTAGCGAGCACCTATGAAGGCCGGCACGGGATACAAGGTAGCGGGTGGCCAGCACCACGCCCGGCCACCTTTGACTCCCTAATGGAGATGTTTACAAACAGCACCAGGTGTTTATTTGAGGCTGAGTCGACCGAGGGGAAGCCCATGGCCGGTGCAGATAATCGTCACTGGTGTTGGTCTTGAGCGGGAATCGAACTCAGGTGGGTGGGTTTTTAGCGCTTAACCACGACGCTACCTCTCCCCACACACTCCCACACACACAGACACACACAGAGACACACCAGTACCGGATTAAGCTAGTGCGTGGCCTGTAGCATATGTTATTAAGGGGCCATAAATTAGAAAAAAACATAAATATTAAAACACATAAATGTTTTACTTGCATAGTAACGTAATTGTATTTTTGCATCTGCTATACAGCCAGATAATAGGACAAATCGCGAACCTTAAACACCCAGTCGTTCATAAAAGTTGAAGGCAGTATAGTACTATAGTAAATAGAGCAAGTGCAGAATCACTGAACCGATCGAAACGTCGTGATATTGTTATTATTTTGATAATTTTTTCTATCTATGTGGCTTTACCGAAAGACCCAAAAAATACGCAATTGATAGCTTGAAAGCATTTAGCGCGGGTGGCCCTTGCAAGTGCGGCGCCCGTAGCATATACTACTTTTGCTACTAGGATAATCCGGCACTGACCCACACACACACCGACACACTGACACTCCCTCTCTCTCGTACTCGTTGGCCCAGTCTGGCCACATGTCAGTGCCTCGTCTGGGACTCAGGAATGTTCACTCCTCGCCAGGGGAGGTCCGCGGAGAGGAGGGACGGGCGCAGGAGGGCAGCACGGCCCCCACGTGGCCCCCACGTGGCCCCCCACGTGGCCCCCCACGTGGCCCCCCACGTGGCCACCAGATCTCCCACGTGGCCACCAGATCTCCCACGTGGCCACCAGATCTCCCACGTGGCCACCAGATCTCCCACGTGCGCCGTGACCCCTTCCGGCGAGCTGGAGGCCCATTGAGAAACCTCGCGCGGAAGCGGATACCGCAAAGCTACCTCTGAGATCACCTTCTGCACAGCGACACCTGGTCCACTGCACAGTAGTAGGGGCAGCGCTTGTCCGCCCGCCCCGCTCGTAATCGCGTGATGGTCAAACCGATATTTTAATCGTCACAGTTGGAATTTTCCAGATTCGGTGCAGGACCAAAAGTGACGTGATGTTTTGCTTGTGCAGTAACTGGTGACCAGGCTGAGACCATCAACTCACTGCACCAGAGAATGCGGTTTAATCACAACTCAGTCGATGTGAGTCTGTGGGTCTCTACATGAGTCTATGGGTCTCTATACGAGTCTATGGATCTCTGTGCTCCTATTGGTCACGATGGTGTTGTCTGTGGGTCTCTAGATGAGTCGATGGGTCTCTATATGAGTCTATGGGTTTCTGTGATCCTATTGGTCACGATGGTGTTGTCTGTGGGTCTCTAGATGAGTCTGGGTCTCTATATGAGTCTATGGGTTTCTGTGATCCCATTGGTCACGATGGTGTTGTCTGTGGGTCTCTAGATGAGTCGATGGGTCTCTATATGAGTCTATGGATCTCTGTGATCCTATTGGTCACGATGGTGTTGTCTGTGGATCTCTAGATGAGTCGATGGGTCTCTATATGAGTCTATGGATCTCTGTGATCCTATTGGTCACGATGGTGTTGTCTGTGGGTCTCTATACTATATGAGTCTATGGGTCTCTATATGAGTCTATGGATCTCTGTGATCCTATTGGTCACGATGGTGTTGTTGGTGGGTCTCTAGATGAGTCTGTGGGTCTCTATATGAGTCTATGGGTCTCTGTGATCCTATTGGTCACGATGGTGTTGTCTGTGGGTCTCTAGATGAGTCTGTGGGTCTCTATATGAGTCTATGGATCTCTGTGATCCTATTGGTCATGATGCTGTTGTCTGTGGGTCTCTAGATGAGTCTATGGGTCTCTATATGAGTCTATGGGTCTCTGTGATCCTATTGGTCATGATAGTGTTGTCTGTGGGTCTCTAGATGAGTATATGGGTCTCTATATGAGTCTATGGGTCTCTGTGATCCTATTGGTCATGATGGTGTTGTTTGTGGGTCTCTAGATGAGTCTATGGGTCTCTATACGAGTCTATGGATCTCTGTGACCCTATTAGTCATGATGGTGTTGTCTGTGGGTCTCTATATGAGTCTATGGGTCTCTATATGAGTCTACGGGTCTCTGTGATCCTATTGGTCACGATGGTGTTGTCTGTGGGTCTCTAGATGAGTCACCATTGACTCGTCTAATTGCAGTGGGCGGCTCTACCCCGGGCCGCATCTCGGAGCCCGGCAGCGCCAGCTCAGCGCTCTGACCTCATCCACCCGGCCACAACTCAACCACTTCTCCTCCCACGCTCCACATCCATGACCATAACCACATCCCTCTCCACAGATGCCCTCTCTCCCTTGGACCTCTACCCACGCCCAGAATACCCTCAGACTGCCACAGGGCACTCCCACTACCACAGCGCCCCCCAACACCACAGCGCCCCCCACTACCACAGGGCCCCCTACTACCACAGGGCCCCCTACTACCCAGAGGTCGCAAACGGGTTTTGATTCCTTACCCGTACCCGGCCGCACCAGGGTCGCAAACGGGTACCCGTACCCAGCCGTACCCTACCCGTACCCGGCCGGGTACGGGTAGGGTATGGGTATCGGGTACCTGATTGCGACCTCTGGGATGAAGCCATGTTGCAGGCGTGGGTGGGTTCATTCTAGGAACTTGAATTGTGAGTAGAGACAAGACGTTAGGTAATGAGTGACAAACAGTTACTCACCAGTGACTCACGGCCTACCCGTACCCGTACCCGGCCGCACCAGGGTCGCAAACGGGTAGCCGGGTATCGGGTAGGGTACGGGTATCGGGTACCCGGTTGCGACCTCTGCTACTACCACATGGCCCCACACTACCACAAGGACTCCTACCGCACCAAAGTGAGAAGCTGCCTTCCCCCCAAATTATACTGTACTCCCACACACACACACACACTCTTACTGCCTCACCGACTCTCACACTCACTCTCTCACTCCCACACACTCAATCCACACTCTCACTCCCACACTCTCATTATTTCGCACTCTCACACTCACTCACTCACTCCCGCTCCCTCCCACTCTCTCTCTCCGTGACGACTCAGCGCCGTGGCCGAGCGCCGTCTCGCCGTGGGGAGGAAACGTCTCGTGGTTTCCTCTCCTCGCAAATTCGCCACAAAATATTGGACCCCCCCCCC